GCAAAACTATGCCGTGCTGCGGCTGCGAGCAGCCCGCGACGGATGTGTGCGAACAACCCTGCCTGGGCGACCAAGGACTGGAGGCTTGCGTCGGCTATCCGGCCAAGAAGGACCAGCCCCTGCCCACGAACGATGACAAAGATACCGAGTCCTCAGAGCCGATTCAAGAGCTGCCCCCCAACTACACGGAACATACAACATTTTGCGACGACGAGATCTGCAAAGTGTACAAGTGTCCCGATCTTGTATGCACCAGTGAGAAATGCCAGCAGAATGCCTGTGACGAGAATTGCGAGAGCAAAGAGCAACATCCCGATGCTGAGCTCGAGAGCAAACAGGCCGACCAAACGATCTGCACACGAAGCACCTGTCCGGCGCGCAGCCACAAGAAAAACGAGCGAAAAACTGGGGAATCGCCGAGCGTACCGAACACAGAACCCATATCGGAGGCTATGCTCGATTCTCGGTCGTTGGTGCCCAGTCAGTCGACAACTGTTGGGGTAAGCAAGGCCGGGCCGGAAGGTGTGCCACGTTGTTGCTATCCCAAGCAGTGGTTCTTCAAAAATAAGATCGTGAGAGACTCGAGCGCCTGCATGGGAGTGGAGCCAGAGGTTAAGTCTAAGCGAAAGGGCATACTCGGCAGTGTGGCGGGTCTTTGTAAGCGGGCCATAATGCCGGGACGCTATTTGCTGTACAGTCTCAGCACTTTGCATCGCCCGCAAGTGGCGTATGGCGATCGGTCAGCGAAAAAGCAAAGGTTGTTAAAGGAGCCGCCAAAGGAAAAAGAGGAGGAGGCAAAGAGTGAATCGTTCTTTTCCAGCAAATCCAAGTCTAGCAACTGGAGTCAAATTCAATCACAGGGCACGCTGTGGCACTCGTCGGCCAGCTGTTCGATCGTGCAGAACAAATGCGGCTACCTGAAGCGCAAGCCCATTGCGGGACAGTTCGGAAAGCTTGGCTCCAAGTGGATGTCAGCCAATAAGATCAATCTGACGCCGTCTTTTTTGCCGCATAGACAGAAATTTTTGATGGTCCAAGGCAAACGGCCAGAATGGATGACTCCACCGACAACAGAGATCGATCCTGATCCTGATCCTGCACAGGGGCAGCCGAGAAGCACTCAGCTGGAGGAGGCGACCAACGAGGGGCCAGCGGAAGAACAAGAGGCAGTCAACCACAATGCGGTATTTGTCAATACGATGTCCAGGGCCAACGAGAAACCCTCGACGAGCAAAGCTGCGCGAGCCAGCTACGTTCCCAAGACAGATTATTCGCAGCTAATGCATCTAGTGGCACGCAAACGAGCCAAGACGGCACATTACAAACGCTGCACCGTTTCGTTTGCGGAGAAGCAACGCATCAATGGCAGACAGCCGACAAGTCTGAGGCTGCAACGTCAACAGACACGCAGCAGCAAGCGGCAGCATGGGTCAAGTCCAGAGAGACGTCGCAGTGCGAGTCCCGTGCCAATGAAGAAACAGCGGACAATGGATCGAGCAGACACGCCCATGCAAATAGCCGAACCGGTCTACTCCAAGAGTCTGTCATCAGTCAGGCCTAGGGCGAATTTGCAGGCGCCGAGCACAACTTGGCTCTCGGCCTATTCGGATGACAGCATTTCACTCAAGGATCAGTTCATGTCGTGCGAGAGCCAGGAGTCCAAGAAGAGGGCACCCCCTCACAGGCAAGACAAAGATAGTTCAGACACTCAGCCAGGTGGTTTAAAAGATCACCACCGGCCAGCCGAAAGGGCTCTACCGGACAAGGAGTACGAACCGCACGGACAGCAGTATTCGAGCTGTACGTCTCGCATGGCGAGGCTGTACAATGCAAACGCTGGCCATGGCATTGGTATGCAGGTGACAAATATGGGCGAGAAATATCCACGAAAGGTATTCGATTCTGAAAAGGTCAACAATGACCAGAACTTTGCTGAACAGCCGCAACATCATCGGACTAATGAACCGAGTGCGAACAATGTGTTGGATTTCAAGTCAAATATATCGAATGAAACATCCATGGATACGGTAGAGCATAATGCGGAGCGTGTGGCCAAAATAACGCACTATGTGCAGGGGCCATCGCACGGTGATCTCAAAATGAAAAGCATTTCGAATGCACAAAAGACGGAGTCGCACGGTCTTCCCAATATCATATTATCTACGCGGTCACCCAACGATAAAAAGATAATAAAGCTGCGCGACACGGTGCTGAAGCTGCCCAAGGTAAAGGTCAAGTATCCGAATTGCAAGGCGCATTCATTGTTGTCCACACGTCGACCGCCACCACCTCCCAGTCCGCCTCAGCACTTTCGGGTGAATCAAGTGAAGATGCTGGACGATGAGCAATGGCGGCAGCTCCTTGACCAGGCAAACCGAAACTACATCAATCAGCAGAAATCCATGGGAAGGGGTCGAAGATACGATAGTGGCAGAGACAACGATAACGATAGTGATAACGATAACAAGAACGCAAATAACAAAGATGAGAACGAAAACAGCTACGGTGGACACATGAGCAAATGTCGCTCACGTTCCGGCTGCGACGTTCAGTTCCAGGACAATGACTCGCCATCGAATCCAATAAAGCAAATGCCCAAGACACTCTTCAATAATCCAACAGCATTGGGATTTATCGGACGTCAAGTCCCATTGCCCAAGCCACGCACGTATGCAAGCAGTTCCTATGAGCTGCGGGATAAAAAGATTTATACAGCACCCAGTAGCCTTAAGTCCTCCGCGAATACTGAATCCAGAATCGATTCCAACTCTCAGAAAAGCAAACAACTCTCCAGTTCTGAGGATGTTCGGCAACAGAGGGAACGAACGGAAGATCGAAGCGATGAGAGATCCAAGCGTCTGCCAGTGGAGCGCTATCAAAAGGAACCGGCGGCTATGCGGCCGCCCTTGGTCACGACCAGTGAGTTCCTGGGGCGCAACCCCAGTGATGTGATAAACGCTGAATACGGCAACAGGGCAGTGGTGAGGATGTCTGCCAATAATACGATCGATTGCCGCGACGTGGAGTATGTGCATACGCCGGGTAGGCGCCAAAGTGCCATGTTGCCCGCCTTTAGCGAGTCCTTTGGCTACCCGGAGCCAAGTAGACGCCACTCCCAGAGCTCCATTGATGACGCGTTGCCCAGCATCAAACAGGCTGGCCCGCCGCAGCGGAGCTCCATACTAAAGTCCGCGTTGAGGCCGCTGAGCAACATGCTGAAGCAGGCTACCGATGTACGGCATGTGAATTTCGCAAACACCAACCTATCGGACCTTGTTATCCCTTCGCGTAGTCGTCGGATGGCCTACTACGATATGGACGAAAGTACCCCTCAAGCTGTCAGCATGCACTCCGGTAAACATCGACCCACGATAGCGCGCGTCAAATCGTCGTGCCAGAGCGTGCCGCATAAGTTTAGTTTTACGCAGCCGAATAGATCGAAGTGCATACAACAGCCGCTAGTCGATAAAGCGGATATGCCATCGATCTTTTCACTGCCCACCACGTCATTTGTTCAGCAGACGGAGAATATTGGCGACCCGACGGCTTACATGCAGAGCCCCACCGGTCACGAGCGATTGCCGACACGCAAGCAGGAGTTGGAGGAGCTCGATTTGCCCACTAACTCGCAGTTGTTGACGAAGCCGGGCGACATTCCGAGGGTTAAAAGAGTTGCCAACGATCGTAAAATGCCACGGAGTGTCTCGATAATTTCCGACTTGGATTTCAATGCATATTATTCGCCCCCACGTCACGTTACCAAAAAAAGCGATGTAGACGCTCCCGGCACCACCACCACCACCGATGCGGATCTCTTGTTTACCAATTTGCTGGATCGGATGAAGCATAAGTGCCGCGGCTGCAGCACAAACACATGTCCGCCCACAGCCGAATGCCGTTTGCCCCCACCAGAGCGCTTCGACGATGACAAGTCCTCCGAGTCGGATGGGTATAGCAAGCCTACGAGAGTGTCATATCCTTGCTCTCCACACAAATTGATGGGCAACACACATGACTTGGGCGTCGACTGCTATCCGAAACGTAGCTGCTGCCTGCGCCAGCTGCCCAAAGAGCCGATCGTCATTCAACCCACCACAGGCGGTCTACGTCTGCAGCAGCTCAGACAGAAATCTCTGCCCACGCTCTTTTACGGCCGTAGGTGCTGAGAGCCAAGTAGTCCAGCTGGAGTAAATCGCAGCGCTTCGCAAACATTAAGCTACACATACATGCTCGATGTGCCCAAAGCTAGTGTAAACAATATTGATCCGTCTTCTTTTTTTGTGAGAAAGGGTATTGAATAAAAAAAAAAAATATTACAAAAAGAAGTTACCTTTAAAATTGTATTTCAGTAACTCATGTTTTCCCAATACTCTTCAAATTTACCTCTGATCTATTGTTATTTCCTGACTGTTTGCTGTATCTCTGTGTTGTTGTGAATCGAGTGTACGCTACTAAATCGTTGTGAATATTTTTATTGAATTGTAATCAAACTTCGTTTGGCACCTCTAAATATTCCTCGATTAGGATTCTTCTTATGTTACTGGCCGAGTTAACAGCCTGGCTGCAGTGCCCTGTAAACTAACAGCCCACTGTTAACTCTGAGTTTGTTTCATTGCTAACTGATCTCTGTCAAAGTTACCAGCCTGTTTGCAGTGCCCTGTAAACTAACAGCTCACTGTTAACTCAGAGTTTGTTTCATTGC